CCCTTTGGTAGGGGTGGTGGAGAAGGTTTTATTTTCGCTGCATTAGGTGGTGTTGGTGCTTTGATAATTCTTTTCATTGGAAGGGGAGGCGGAGGTGGTGGAGGTCTTGGTGGCTGAGGTGGATTTTGACTCGAGAGAACTGCTGGTTGAGAGGGTATCACTGATTGAGGAGTGATTTCCTTCTGTGGAAACTGTAATGAGGATGATGGAAATTGAGGATATGGATGTTGTGAAGATCTGCTTGCTGCAGGGAGTGAGTTGATTGTTTGTTGTGCAGTATCTGCCTCTTTCTCATAGCCATCTACATTGCTTGCATTTTGCAGTAATGGAATTTCTTGGATTTGATCCCTTGAAACTGGTTTCTCTCGTCGGCTATCCGTCCTCTTCTCTTCCTCCCCATCTATGTAATTCACCCAAACCTTAGAAAAGCAACTTCCGAGCTGTCTACCCTCAAATTTTCTCAAATATATAACATCAAGGCCATTTTCATCTACTATGAGCCCTTTTAAAGCTCCACTTTGCTGGAATTCTTGATGAAGCGCAGAACCAGAAACTTCTCGACGAAAACTAGAGTTCAATTTGTTTCTCTTCCGTTGACGAGCTATATAGTATCTATAAAAGAAATAAAAGAGTATGCCAGCAATTATCAAAGTAGTTACAACTGCAGCTATAACAGCCTTCAGAACTACCTGATTCTGAGATGAATGTGTTAGAGGTGGCCCTGGTGCATTCATTTCAGCCAAAAGGTTATAAAACTGATCAGTGAAAAGAACTACTACTTAGGATAAATCCAGTTTCTGTTGCAGAGTTTGACAGGAAGATTGGCGTGAATTTCCTGTCTAGACCATGCTCTGATCAAAGTGAAGGAAAGACTTCCTTTTTTGTTTGTATTTTACAATGCTATATTCATTCTGTTCTGAACTTTGGCTGCTGACAATTTCAAAGAAAGTTGTTGTTGTTAGTTGGCTGTCTTAAAATCATCCCAGTCCTTTTAGTAGAAATTGCATTATTGCTGTTGTCTGGACGTATTCTAAAAATCAAGAAAGCTTGGGGGTTTAGTATAAAGTTTGGGCAATTTGAAAATTTTGGTATATTGTGTACTTTGTAGTCAGGCGGTTGGTGTAAGGTTTTACTTAGTCCTATCTTCCTTTATTGTAAAGAACGACATCTGTATCAATGTGGTATTTCTATAGCTACAACGTTGAAACAAATAGTAAACGATGTATCTTGGCATATTTTTATAGGAAACTGTCCTTTCTTTGGAGTCGTTTTCTTCTTTGTTTTATCCAATTAGTTGTCAATGCATTATGACATCAATCAGAGTTCAAAAATTGAGAACTATTTTTGAAGAGCGAAGTCCAAGTAAGTGGTAATTTCCAGCAGACAGCGACAAGAAAGTCTGTGATTTTATAGGTGGAGCTACAAAGTGTTTCACCTTTTTTCTATGTTAAGTGTATTTCTTTTGTTTTTCTTTGGCAATTTAAGTTTTTCCAATTCTTGTAAACGAACAACGATTTCTAACTACTCTTTCTAGGCGTTTCTTCAATTTGAAAACAGAACATAATAGAACGAGTATATGAAAGAAGGCATGACCAAGCCACATTTCTAGACACTAGTCAATTTCAAACTCTGGACCACTCCCAAAATGACCTAAATTATCTTCCAGCTTTTCGGAAAGGGAAGCAGGATAAGTTGACTATTCACCAAGTAGTCAATTTATTATTTGAATAAAGTTGACTATATTTCCAAAACAAGTAAAATCAGTTTTCGAAAATCAAAACTAAACAGGCTAAATTTTTTAAAATTGAAATCATAACTCAGTTGTTGTAATTTTATCCTTCTAATTTCAACAATTGTCTTCACCTCTTCTATCATTAGTCATGGTTAGGGGTGTACAAACCGAACCGAAAAATCGCACCAAATCAAAAAGTCAAACCAAACCGATTAAAAAATCCGATTAGGTTTGGCATTGAGTAAAAAAATTCGAACCAAACTGGCATAATAAATATATAATTTTTATATATATTTTTAAGACTTTTCATAGAACTTTCTTTAAAAAATATCTTACAATATTTGTGATTCTCTTATGGGATGTAAATAATGGGTTGTATAATGGGTTGTATGATCACTTTCTTATCAAGTGTTAGTCAATGCGTCAATCTCTATGTTCTTCCATATTCATATGTCAAGATCGATTAAATTCTTATATTTTTTTCAAATTTGAAGTGGTATTTCGATAATTTAAAATAAAAAAGAACATATCATTATATAGATATCATATTGATTTTTATGTTTAAATATTAAATTCAGTTAACTTTGAAAGTATAGATCAACGAAAAATTATTGTCAGGCGATTAAAAAAATAACTATCATATGTTACTAAAAAAATTCTCCCATAAGAATATGTTAATAGATCATACGTTTGTTAATTTTTTTAATTTTCACTAAACATATATTTACTTATAAGAAATTTAACAAAGTAAAACTGAATAATATTCATGTAACAAAAAATCGAAAAACCCAACAAAGCGAACCAATCCAAATCAATAGAATTGGTTTGGTTTGATTTTGATGAAAATCGAACAACCCGATCCATGCACACTAAAAGAACAAAAAATTGCACATTGTCCCCTCCAAAGGGAGCGGTCTTGACGGAATATTCCCATTTTGACTGGTTTAACAAAATATTTTCGCTTTTGACTTGAACACATTATTTTTCAATTTTCAAAGCTTGAAATTATTATTTGGTACCCGAAAATAGAAGTTAATGATCGTTTTTTCTTACAATTGTGTAAATATTAATAATTTATGCTTAAATTTTTAATTCAAATACATATTTTGGTACTGTAAAAATCTCAGAACTTTATTGGTGGACCTTAGAAAGTGTTGAAGAAACAAAGTTGGTCTTTTTGATTTGGTGTTGTTTGACTAAATTAGTGATTGGGGATTGTTTATATTGGTGTTTGGAAGCTTTGTTTCAAATTTGAGTTTATTGTGGTTTGATCGAAGTTGAAGTTGCAAATTCGAAAAACACTTAGATAAAATAACCCAACAAAAGTATGTCAATTGGATAGATTTCGATGAACGACTTAATATATAAGTAGATTAATAATAGCAGCAATTCTACTAATACGGTTGAGAAATCCTGAAGAGCAAAAATATGACAATCAGGTAGATTTCGATGAATAATCTAATTCATTAGAAACTGTGTACGGATATATAGCCATTTTTTATAGTATAACGTCAATTTTGGGATATTCGGCTAAGAACGGCCCTTGCGGAGGCCTTCCCGTTAATCTCCCGTAAAAGAAAGCATATTGGGGGGGGGGGGGAATTCAAAGCACTGAAAATTACTGTTGGTTTAATTATTAAAGATTTTGTGATAATATCAACTAATGTACGCATTGATCCGTTGGACCACTGTTAGATTGAAAATTAATTGTTAATGTGAGCTATGACCTCAAAATTATACTAACACCTAAATTATCCGCCTGTTCTTCATTTAGACCAGTAGGTGTGCAGCTCGTTACTAACTCCGCCAATTCCTTATGTTCTGGTTTTTAATTTTTGTCTTATTTTATTACTCCAGGCTCCAGCTCATTAATAAATGTCCCCGAAGCAGTAAGCATCGCAATTAATGAATTGATAAAACTTTTGTTTGTTTTCAACAGTAACACAAGTACTTCCTCAGCAACTAAAACCCCTTTGCTGGAGTACGAAGAATTAAGTGCTTGACTATATAATTTAATTGGATTAGCTTAGTAGAAAAGTGATTAAAATATTGCCCCTCAGCTGTTGTATACGAGGACAACTATACTCTTCATTTGAATTTGGTCCAAATTCAAATATTTTACTTATCGAAAAGGTTCAAAATTGTCCTTCGACTATTCAAAATAGGTTGTGTCCATGCCGCGGCCTAAATGGGTAATTTCTACCCTCCTTCACGGATGCAATTTTTGTTTTTTTTTTATTCAGAAAAAATATTTTTCTCTTTTTTAAAATCCACCTGGGACACCCCACCCTCTCTCGCTTCTTTTTTTTCTTTCTAGAAAGAGTCAAAAAGATCCACTACATCAATGTTTAAGAGTAAGCTTTTACATTTGGAAAAATATTTCATATTTTTTTGGAATATAAAGAAAGAAAGAAAGGCCAAAGGAGTATAAACAAATGACTTCGGTCCAAATACATGAAACTTTTCGTAGCGCAAATAAGGTTCACCGCCAGAGTACCAGTTAATGACAATGTACATTTCTGAAGACCATATATTGCTGGAAATTCGGTTTACGTGGTTTGATCGGTTTGTTGTGAATGAATTATGATAAATATTAAACGATCTGCATCAATTCTCCAATATGAGCAACATAAAAACCCCTAACATGCTTAATTCAGTAAAATCTGTATTAATAAATTTTAATTATAGGGTTAAAGCTAGACCCAACATTAATTCTTAATTGTGTACATAATCAACACAAATATGCTAGGGATATAATCATATCATTTATAAGAAAAAGAGCTTTTAAGGCAGCATAGTTAGTAATTTAGTTAGTAATACTTCTACAAAAGTATTTTTCCTTTACTTTTCACGGCTTGGGAAATGTTTAAGACCTCCACATCACACAGTCACACGAATCTGCTATCCTCGAACTGTTGCCTACTAGTGGAATGACAATCACTCGAATGGAAAATTGAAAAAGGAAAGTTAGAAAAATGTTTAAGATAATAGTAGTTAATTAAATAAATGAGTGCCCTCTTAAACAAATTAAAATTTCAATTACTTTTGGATCAAGAGAAGGAGAAGAATAAAAGTAGAGAAAATCAAACTCAGAGCACTAGATTGTAACGTAACCAAACAAACAAATACCAGAATGTTTTATTGGAAAAGAAATACAAACAAATACAAGAAATACCTTCTTGTTCGATCCTTGACCTTTTGCATATTAAAAGAAAGCCAGTCAACTCAAATGACAAATTGGAAAAGAAAAGTTGATTTGATTTTTTTAAAATTAATTTTCTACTTCTATTACATTGGAATATGCCGAAAAAGAAAAAAGACAAACAATAAGAATTCAATTCAAACTCCACCAGAATCACTAGACTATACTCTTGGTGGTCAAATTCAAAAAAGACCAGCCCAAGCGTAACCAAACAAACAAATGCACGAAGAAAACAAAAACAGAAGTTAACAACAAGATTTGGTTGCTAAGAAGGCAATGCCATAGCGTTTAATGTCAAAATATCCCGGGTTTGTTACAAATAACAATAGGAAATCATGTGAATTTCCCAGCTTTTTCTATAGAGCTCATTTCTCTTACCAAAATGGAGGAACTAAACATGTACAGCTGGTGAATTAGAGAGCAAAATATTATGTGTCATATCTAACCCGATTCTGTGTTAACCAATCTTGTGTTGCTTTGAGAATTGAGATACTGATGCTGCTGAAGATTCTGGTGTTGATTGTATATCATGGCCTGTAACTAAAGAAGATGGCATTGGTTGTGTCGATGAATCGTCTTGGAATTTTCTCTTTCTTGAACTTCCTTCTTTGATCTTCTTCTCTCTTTCTTCCTTATCCCCCTCGCCCCTCAGTATAAAATCTCTGAGACGTTTAACATCAGAGAGCTTCACAGGCTTCAGTAGAAATTCTTCAGCCCCTTCCTCCAAACATCTAGAAAGAAACCATTTACTCAATTACATGTTCCAAATTACAAAAGAAATCTACAAAGTTTTGTACGTGTTTGGATAAAAATTCTGAAATTACTTTAGAAGCAACATATGGTCCCTTCTGAAATTAGAGACTTGTATTTAGACAAATAACTACAAATCCAATTTCTTCAATGCAATAAGCTTAAGAGGATGTATGTACCTATCAATGCGAGCTAAAATCTTTTCAGATGACATAATAACAACGGGGATCTTGCTCAATGCCGATGATTCCTGCTCAACAATAAGGAATTAAAGGTCTTACTCACCATTACTTATCTCACGAAGCAACAACAGATGGATAGGCTAAATAATTTATAGAGACATGACATAAAAAACAAAATAATCACATTAACAACCTACCTTAATTCTTTTGAGAAGTTCATATCCAGTCATCCCAGGCATAGAATAGTCTGTCAGTATCAGATTTACCTTCAAATCCTGAAACCAAAAAAATTGCAAATTTCATTAAAACAAAGTGTCACTAGAGTAACCCCATAAAATAATAATGCTCACAAAAGGAAATGTAGTTATGGCTGTTCAATAACTACAATGGGAACCAAATTTTACAGATTTTGTACAACAATTTCATCTTAGACACAAATATAGAAACAATAATCAGCCTAACATAAGCGAGAATGAAAAAAGATGGATTTATTAATTACTTATATTTTACTAACTAATTTAAGTTTTAGAAGATGTAATCATTCAACAAAAAGAAACAACAGAAACGTGTTAAAACTTACATCAATCCCCACAGAAGTCTTCTCTCCATCTAAACCCAAATATTGCAAAGCACTCCTTCCACTTTCCACCGCCGTCACTGCAAATGCAAAATACCACATTCTTACAATTTTAAACAAACAACTTGTAATAAACATGTAAAAGCTAAGTTTTGAGCTGTGGATAACAAAAACAGATGCTATTGAAACTGTTTAAAAACCAACCTTTACAAGAAGAAATTTTCAGCAATCGCTCAATAACCTTCCGATCAACATGGCTATCATCCACAGCAAGAACATGCAACTCATGTGCCATTTTCTCCAATTCTATTACCAATACAAATATTGGGTCTCTGTTTCAAAATAGAATCCAACTAAGAAAAAGTGAATATTATAGTAAGGAATAAAGGATGGTTCTATTTGGTAATGTGGGAGTAGTAGATATAGTGAAGGAAGAAATCTAGAAAAAGACTGAAGAAGAGATACTGAAAGATCTTAGCAAATCTAGATCGCATTATCCCACTTGTCCCCTATTCTATCCCACGCTATTATTAAATTCGATTGTTTCTGTTGTTTATTGAGAGATGGGATTTGCTTTTAGTCGAAGGTAACAGACAAAACATACTCTTTACTTCTCTTAACGTAGCATCTCATTATACTAATTCTTGTGGCACTACTGTCGTGCTTGTTTGCGGGGTCAGGTGCCATAAACACTGTTTGTGGTCACTAACTTTGACCCGTGTGTGGTCACTTCCTTTGACCATGTTGTTTTTCTTTTACTGAAAAAAAGCCAGGTAACAACCATAAATAGGAAAGTTAAAATTAATAACCATTAATAATAGTCAGGTACAAATAAAACTGTAATAAACATTTTTTAAGAAGAGAGGAGAGTTTCATCTGAAAATTGAACGGCTTCAAGAACGTATCGTTTTCTTATTACTCCCCGTTTCATTTGATGAAACTCTATTTTTTAAACATGTTATAACATAGCATCATTTTTTTAAAACAATTTAAAAAAAAATAGAACTACATAAACTAATACAAATGACCCAAAATTCAGATCTAGACTTATACAATCGAATTTTATGATAAAGTTGGGTTAATCTTAACAAATATTAATATTCAAAAGCGGCCAAATATTTTTGTAGAAAGATCTCACGTGTACTATTTGAGCAGCAATAAATAACAATATGGTATGATCAATGATCCAAGAATATGGAAGATAACAATAAATAGCAAAAATGGAAGTAAGTCGCCCGAAGAGGGTGAGATTCCTTAATATTTGTTCTGACAAAGATAGATAGTGATAAGTTTTTGAATATTCGGATATTTCTTGGATTGGGAGAAGGGATAGATAAAGATCAAAGAAAAATGTGGATTTTGTATGTGTATGGTAACGTAAGAATTTTTAGAAAATATCAACGTATTATTTTTTTCAACAAATGTCTCGTCTCCTCTATAACTACGTATCTTTCGTTATGTAGTATATAAATATAATTTATATGAATGTTAATTTGCTCAACAAGATTATCCAAATATTTCATCATCCCCAATTTAATTCAATAATAAGGCCACTGATTAAACAATGTTGCTAAAATATATACTAGTATGGATCTTTTTTACAAGTATGGCTAATTATCTTCAATCTAATCGTTGGAATTTGGATGGCCTATTGGTTTGGGTAATAAAATATATATGTAAAAAGAAAAAGTTGACCATCTGTCATCAGCCTAAATATACTTTTCAATGCCTTTATTATTACTTAACATTTTTGTCGGAGTTTCATAAGAAAAATATTTCATCTATTCTTGTTTGGAACTGCACAACAGATCGAGGAACCATTCAAACCCAACAAACAAAACGAAAGAGGAAATTAGAATCCTCTCTTTTCCACTGTTAATATATATTAGTGAGCAAAGATCAAAGCCTGTGATGCATGAAACGGCAAGAACCTGCTGTTTAGGCTATATTAATCATTTATCAACCCATGTTTGTTTATACTCCTATTAATTAACTTTGATATATACATATTTTCCAAGTTGCAAGTTTGAAGATTTAAAGATTATCAAAACCTACTGTCTACCACTAGCAAGTTGTATGCTGTGTGCGACATGTTTTCCAATAGGGATAGTGGTCCATTTGCTATCCTAGCAACATAAATATTGTTTTGACAATTGAATGTACATACAGCCACAAGATTTAACAATGAATTTAAAGATCGTTTAGCAAAGACTATCCCACCAAATCTGAGGGAAGATATTCTGATTTTGTCAAGGCTCCTATCCAGCCTACTACTTAATATTTAGTTGTCATGTAGGGATTTATTAACAATTCAAGTTTTAACCTACTACTACTTAGTGTTCGTTGCACTCTAATGAATCATTAAGAAATGTAGGCATTTTTTTTTATCGAAAGGAAAGATTACAAAGAGATAAGCGAATCACGATTTTTTTTTGCCATAAAATTTGGGATTTTTTTTTAAATTTTGTTTTCAACTATATGTTTTGACAGATTTTGAAAACAAAATCTTCAAATTACAAATACAAACTCTAGAATAATTTTTAAAATTTTCTACTTATAAAACATCAATTTTTTTTAAAGTAAAATGTATATCTAAACACAATTTCAACTTTCAAAAACTTTTTTTATTCTTATCTTCAATTTTTTTTTCATATTTCAACCAAATGTATATCCAACGATAGTTTACTTTGCATTCTCTGATTGTTGAACTTTACGTATCAGTCATTGCGCGTGCAAGGGATAAATAAAAATGGTTATACGTTTTAACCGTGCAAATGGATATTTAAATTTCTTATTTTTTGAAATATGACTAGTTTACTAGTTAGAGTTCACATATACAATTCGACCTTCAATAATTACTCCTGAAATCTGTTAATCACTTTAATTTTAACCCCTTTTCCTTTTCGAGTATAGCGTGATTTATGCACCAAATACTGTCTTCAATTCTTGAATAACAAGCGGGGAAAAAAAAGAAAAGCGCTATTCACATATGGTTGACTATAATTCAAGGTGTTTACAGTGGTTGAATTGTACTTCTCTTACTTTTTTGCGTATAAACTTTAATAGTGAGAAGAGACGGCGTTAAAAAGAGTAAAGCCGCCTCCAGCGATGGACCGAGTCAAATCCGATCTCACATCAGATATCTATTTGCTGCCAAAGCACCAAATTGATTCGGCAGATATATTGAACAGTCACCTCCATTCTCTCGCTTCCCAAGAAATCTCCAATTTAAATTACTCCGTACAATATTCGAAATTTCTACTCCCTCATTCCCAAATACTCCTAATAATTTCACACTATTTCTTGCTTAATAAATTCGTTCGAAATAACATATTATTATGTACAAATATAATTTAATATTAAACTTCGTATATTATTCTTAGAAAGAAATTAAATAATCACATAAACACAATGCTCAAATTAAGCCCACAAATGTTTAAACTTTCATTAACATAAATATTACTATGATATATTCAAAATAATAAGATTAAAAAAATATTTTTTTTAAAACTGTACGATGAGTCAATTATGTTTATAATTTTAAATAAGGGGAGTATTAATGTTTGATAATATTATATGTTAATTTTCTAATTATCTTAAGAATAAATTTCATACTTATATGTTATGTCATGTGAAACTTTTTTATAGATTAGAAACAGTGTTTGAAAAGAAAAGAACAAAAGGAACTCCAAGCAACACGGAGAGATATGAGTGGACAACCAATCTGAATCTTTTTGATCTTCCATCAAATCAGAAAATCCCTTAAACGAAAAAGAAAAGCAACCTTTTTTCCAATTAAGTAAACTTCGGATACCGCGGAATCCCAAGTAAATCACTTAGCTAAGATTGCACCTTTCCGTACTCTCTAAGTAAAGAAAAGGCTTTTACTTTTTTGCCAGTATAAAGTTTATATATTGTCAATTACATCTACAGCTAAGTAACACTACTTCCTATACCTACGATTTTCATAGCTTCTGTTGTCAACAGGGTGGACTGATTGAAATTTGAAGTTCGAAAACCAAACAATATTTGTGTTACTGCTACTATGACTTCTGCTGCTGCAGTTCCTCGTAAATGGAGGAGCTAACTCCTTTTATCTTGTTCGTTTGGTAGGAGTACTAGCTAATGGCAAACATACGAAATTGAAAGAGAAATTGCCAAAATTGTATCTAGGGCTTGAAAGAACAGAGAAAATTAGAGAAGATATCTCATATTTTTGTAATTGAACAAATGCCCAAAATCCAGAATATTCTGTCTCTTTACCTATATATATATATATATATATATATATATATATATACACACACACATTGGGCCTCTTTAACTAAGCTACTCATAAATTAAAAAAAAAAACTGGGCTAGGCCCAAATACTGGACAGCCCAGCTTCCTTCATGTAATCTTAACACCCCCCTCAAGTTGGAAGGTGGGCACACACCCAACTTGCCAGCCAAAGTGCGATGCTGCAAACCTGTCAAAGGCTTAGTAAAAATGTTAGCCATTTGAGAAGAAGTAGGAACATGAGATAAAGAGATGAGGCCATCAGCTAATTTGGCGCGAATAAAATGACAATCGACTTCGATGTGTTTAGTGCGCTCATGAAACACCGGATTCTTGGCTATGTGAATAGCAGTCTGGCTGTCGCACAAAACAGGAATTGGAGCATCAATAGAGGGACCCAAATCAGATAATAACCGGACAAACCAAGCTAGTTCAGCCACCACTTTACTCATAGCCCTATATTCTGCTTCAGCTGAAGACAAAGAGACTATATTCTGCTTTTTAGATTTTCAACTAAGGAGACTGCCACCCAAATGAATGCAAAAACCAGTGACAGAGCGTCTAGATTCATGATAAGCAGCCCAATCATTATCACAACTAGCAAGCAGAGAGAAATCAGGAGAATTACTAAGAAACACTCCAAAATTAGAAGTCCCATTTAAGTATCTCAAAACATGCAAAGCGGCAGCCATATGTGGGACCCGAGGTGTCTTTAAAAACTGATTCAAATCCTAGACAACAAAACATAAATTTGGCCGAGTATGAGTCAAAAAATTGAGCTTGCCAACCAAACTCCTATAAGATTCAAGCTTAGGAAATAGCTCATCAACGTCAGAATGCAGCTTGTGAGCAATGTCCAAAGGACTAACTACTTCAGAAGCATCAAGGCAATTAAATCCAAGAAGCAAATCAGAAATGAACTTCTTTTGATGCAAAAGGACCCCAGACTTGTGATAGAATACTTCAATGCCCAAAAAATAGTTAAGCAAACCTAAGTCTTTGATCTTAAACTGAGCATCAAGAAAACTCTTAAGGGAAGAAATTTCAGACAAATCATCCCTAGTTAATATAGTGTCATCAACATAAACTGCTAGAAAAACAAAAGAAGACTCGATTCTCTTAACAAACAAAGAATAATCATTTAAAGAGTGAGAGTATCCCCTGGACCAAAGGGCTTGAGACAGCTTTGCATACCACTGTCGAGAGGCCTCTTTTAGTCCATAAAGAGATTTTTGCCGCTTGCAGACTAAAGTAGCAGATCCAGAAGAGGAGGAATCAATAGAAAGGCCTTGAGGGAGCTTCATATAAACTTCTTCATCTAAATCCCCATGTGAAAAGGCGTTATTAACATCTAACTGAAACAAAGGCCACTGGGTTTTAACTGCAATAGCAACTAAACATCTGACAATACACATTTTGACCACAGGAGAAAAGGTTTCATTAAAATCAATCCCATTTACTTGAGTGTCACCTCGAACCACTATTCTTGCCTTATATCTTTCTACATTACCATCATCTTTATATTTTATTTTATATACCCACTTACTGCCTATGGGCTTCTTACCAATAGGAAGCTCAACAATTTTTCAAGTTTGATTTGCTTCTAAAGCCGCAAATTCTTGTCCCATTACCTCTTGCCAAACAGGAATAGCAGCAGCCTAAGTGTGTGAATAAGGCTCTATTAGAACAGTTTGTGTAGTGGAAATAGAGGTAGTGGTGGAGCAAGAAATAGAAGGAGGAAGGTTAACAACATAGTCTTGTAGATGGGAAGGAAGTTGATGGAATCTGGTGCTTTTCCAAAGCTCAAAAGGAGGGGTAACACATTATCAGTTGAGGAAGAAGAAGGCACAGAGTCATCAGAAGGTGACGAGGTAGCAGAATGGGGGATAGGAACATCCGGAGAAGTATCATAGAACAAAGAAAGAGAAGGTGGAGAAGAAGTAATAGGAGCAGAAGAAGGAATCTTATAAGAAAACACAGATTCATGAAACACAACATCTCTTGAAAACAAAATAGACTTAGTTTGCAAATTGTATAACTTGTACCCCTTTTTGGCAAAAGGATACCCAATAAACACACAAGGAAAAACTCTAGGGTGAAACTTATCCCTGTGACACTTAGGGACTGTAGCATAACATAGACAATCAAAAGGCCTTAAATGAGAATAAGAAGAATAATAACCACATAATAATTCAAAAGGAGTTCTTTTGGATAAAACTGAAGATGGAAACCTATTAATAAGGTAAGTTGTTGTCAATACACAATCTTCCCAAAAATTTATAGGAAGATTGGATTGAAACAACAGAGCTCTTGAAGTTTCAAGTAGGTGTCTATGTTTTCTCTCAACCATACCATTCTGTTGTGGTGTGTGTGGACAAGTGGTTTGATGGATTATCCTATTATCAGGAAAAAAATTTGGGAGGTCGAGATAGAAGATCCAAGATCTAAAGCATTATCACTTCTAATCTTTTGGACAGAAAGTTAAAATTGGGTTTTCATCGTGGTTATAAATGCTTTAAGCATAGAAAATGCATAGCTTTTAGAGTGCAATAAATGTGTCCATGTTGCTCTGTTATAGTCATCAACTATGGTAATAAAGTACTTAGCTCCAGAATATGTTTGAATGTGGTAAGGTCTCCAAGTATCAACATGAATAAATTGGAACAAAGAGGTAGATTGAGAAGAGCTATCTGGGAAAGGTAACATAGGTTGTCTAACCAAGGGACAAAGGACATTTAAAAGATTGTTTAGCTGACAGGTCATTAGAAATACAAGGTATATTTTTCATTTGTACAAAAGAAACATGTCCTAATCTATGATGCCAAAGAACATCATTTTTATTCATAGTTTGCTGAACAGTACACGATGATAAAGGAGCAACAGAATTTGAATTCATAACTGGTTGATTTGCATGCAATGAAAAATCAGCACTTTGTACCACATTATTAAAAGCAGAAACATAATTATCAATATCATAGACAAAAGAATTAGAGAGTTCAGAAGGAGCAAAATGATTAAGGTAGAGCTTGTATAGTCTTTGGTCTATTCTACCAAGCTCCAGAAACTTCTTCATAGACTGGGCTTGTAGAAGTATACATGAAAAGGAAGTGAATAATACATTATAGTTGAACTGGATAATCAATTTGCTCACAGAAATCAAATTATAATAGAAAGTAGGAATATACAAGACATGATGAAGGGTAAGAGATGGCAACAAAGTTAAAGAACTTGTGCAGGTAACCTTAACCTTGTAACCATTAGGCAGAGAAACTAGATAGGGGACAAGAAGAGGTGTGATAGTTAGAGGACGAAGATGTTTCGGGAACAGAATTAACCATGATAACAAGTAAATTGATAAAAAAATAAAAGATTCTATACCGTCAACAGTACAACAACATACACAACTACGCATGTAACAAGTTAGACAGAGAACGAATATACCAGACTTCTTTGCAACCTGAAGAAGCAAAGGCCTTGATAAGAAAAATGCAGCAGAAATCGAATTTAGCTTCGGTGAAATTGAGATGACGAAACTGAGTGAACACCAAAGCTTTATCCTCGAAAACAAAACTCGGGCAGCAGAGGAGAAGAATACCACACAAAACTTCTAAAATTCCGACGAAAATCGAAGAAATCATAAATTTTTGGCGAAATCAGAAACCTCCGACGAAGATGAAAAACTCAACGAAATCAAACGAGGGTAACATCGCTAGATAGAGAATGACGAGAATCATTGGATTCCTCGCTCTGATACCATGTTAGCATACGAAATTGAAAGAGAAATTGACAAAATTGTATCTAGGGCTTGAAGGAACAGAGAAAACTAGAGAGAAGATATCTCATATTTTTGTAATCGAACAAATGCCAAAAAGTCCAGAACATTCTGTCTCTCTACCTATATATATATATACATCGGGCCTCTTTAACTAAGCTACTCATAAATAAAAAGAAAAACTGGGCTAGGCCCAAATACAAAAACGCAACTTCCTTCATGTAATCCCAACAGCTAATTTAACCGATTTTTAGAATTAAAAGAAAACTAAATCAATTTTCTTTTAAAATTGCACAAAAAATCACTAATGTTAGTTGACATTTTCTCATATGAAAATATTATTCAAAGTCTATTTGATTTGAACAAAGGTCAGGATTGAGTAATAAAAATTTACTCAAAAGAAAGGCGAAGGGTTGGGCAACAAGCAACGACTTGCTATCATAGTTGTGATCGTTATAGCACCAGTGCTTTTTGTTCCGCGTTAGGGGCCGTACGAGTCGTCGCTAGTGTCATCGATACGCACTGTATACGTTTTATGATATCGGCTTTTGATCAATTACTATGTATTTAGCTATTGAATCTCAAAGTTTATATTTTTATGCGGTCGCAACATCAAAAAGTCTGAATTATGTGCAACAAAGCACTACTACTGTAGCTAATTGTCAGATTATCCGAGGAATTACTAGCTTAAGTAACGTACGTATGGGTGTTAAAGCCGGAACAACAACATTACGCTCCATAATTACTTTAATTTACAGGCTTTTAGACATGAAAAAGGTTACACATTATACTAAGTAAGTGTTTGGACATAAAAATTATAATTTTTTGAATTTTTTTTTACTTGGAGTTAAGTTGAAAAATGAAATTATATTTGGACATGCATTTTACTTGAAAATATGTTGTAGTTTTGTGAGTGGGGAAAAAAATTATGAAAATTTAGAAAAAATGGTCAAAACTACTTTTTGATTTTTGAAAAACTCATTTTAGAAAAGTTTTCTAAATACTTACAAAATTTCATGAACAAACTCATTTTTTTAAAAAAAATTGAAAAAAGAAATTTTTTTTTATGGACAAACAGGGCTCAAAATATCGTAGTAACGGAAGTACTATCAAAGAAGGCAGAAGCAACAACAATTCAAAATTACTCTTAAAATATAAGAATCCTAATCTGCATTTAGAACGGTGCACCTTTATAGATCACAGTCCAAATTCCAAACCAAAACCTTATTTAGGGGCCGGTTGGCCATACGCCCACTTAGCAGCTTAAATCAACCCGTCATGTTTTAAAATAAATAAGATTGTTTCTTCCAATCTCGAAAGAAACAAAATCATCAATACAAGCATACTCCACTTGCTCCGCGCTGAGCTCTTCGTTATCCCATTTACCCAAAGTAATATGCTTGGGCTTTTCCATTTCTTTTCCAAGAACAACTTGGCACAGCTTCTTTAAACCAGCATTTCTCAGGTCCCTCATGCCATAAGAATCCGCCGCCAAATGCCTTAAGTCAACCACATTACCCGCACGTATCCCATAATCCTTCTCCAACTTTTCAACGTCATTCTCGATTCCAACCCCAACAATGGTGTAACTGGGATTGCACAAAAAAACGGATAAAAATAAAGGAATGTAAAAACAGTGTTGGAGTTGAAATATGAGACAGCGGCGGCCAACGCAATGCTGAAGAATTGCAACTTGGCTTTGTTGATTACGGTTGAAAGTGGGTCGCCACTCGATATCAAGTCCAACAACGAGGCGGTCAAGGCGACGCGCATGGACGGCTTCGATCTCCCAGATCCAATCGCCAACATAGCCTGGGCTGTTTGTGACTGTTGTTAGGATTCGATCACCAAAGAAGGGAACGTCGAAAGTAGTAATAGTCATGGCTGTCAATGCTGTGTGATCAAAACTCTGAAATAGTATTACTAATAGCTATTATAGTAATTTGTATTTGTAGGGGCAAGTAGCAAGTTCCCTCTCAGAGACGTTGAAAGTTCAAAATTCTGATTCGGTCACATCGGAAGTAAAACGTCTCTGATCTTAATAAAGTCTAAAGCTATAAAGCGAATTAAAACGGGCAATTATAAAGTTTCCTTACCGACAAATACTCAGCCCGTTTCAAATATTACCGTTTCCTATAAATTGAAAGTTGAGATTCTATTACTCATTATGATCCATTTTAAGTAATTTTTTTGTTATTTTAATATATATGAAGGAATTCATTTTTCATTAGTCAACAATAAAATATGTCAAGTAAATCACTTTAGCTCAGATTTCCGCATAAAGTAACGTGTATACGGTCAAAATCGAGTTTCCCTTCGTATGACTAATCGAAACTGTAACATAATAGGCCAAGGTTCGAATTCGTGTAATATCGAACCATGATGCGAGGTTTGAGTGTTGAGCTCGTGACCTAGAGATCGATTGAGATCGACATCGTCCAAGATCGAGGCCGAGGGAAGCTTATCGAGCCAAAAAACAGAAAGCCGGAATATTCGCAATTGGACAAGAATCACGGCGGAAATTTCGACGCATATCAATGAGAGACCAATTAATTACTCTATCATGAGATTCCTTATTGTATTTAGAATTATATCAAGAGTAGGACTCCCCTACTATATAAAGGGGATCTGATCATTTGTAGAAGGAGAAATTTTTAGGCAATAGAAAGCAATATACTGCCTTTCTTCTAGTTTTCAATATCTGGTTACTTTGTTCTTGTATCAGTTTATTCTTCACTTGGTTTGAGAGTGATCAAACTTGAGGGCCAAGGCTAATTGATTCATTTGGTTTGCATTTATTTCTTTTACAGTTAATTTCAATATTAATATATACTCCCTCCGTTTCAATTTATGTGAACCTATTTCCTTTTTAGTCCGTGTAAAAAAGAATGACCTCTTTCCTTATTTGGAAACAATTTACTTTTATGCAATGATTTATAGCCACACAAAATATATGTGCTTCATTTTATACCACAAGTTCAAAAGTCTTCTCTTTTTTCTTAAACTCCGTGCCCAGTCAAATGAGTTCACATAAATTGAAACGGAGAGAGTATATATATATTTTCTCAATTTGTGCCAAGTTATATCACATATCCTTAAAATCGCGTATAAATTCAATTGTTATCCGTTTTTCGGGTAAACAGTTTGGCGTTCACCGTGGGGCTAAGGATAATAGTGATTGCCTAGAACTAACCCTCGTAACACACACTATTTTATACTTGTTCTTGTGAGTATCTTTGATTCTAGGATCAACATGTCGAACTCTCAGGCAACATCCGTACACGTGGACAATGACTTCGGTCACCATGATGAAAATGACAACATAGCACCAGGGAACGACGTACCACTAGTTGGCCTTGATGGTGTTCCGACAGTAGATCCGATCGATGTCAGCTCGCATGTAGCCATTAATGCAAATTTAGCCATCGATCCCGAGAATAGCGTTCGTAGGGATGTTCGATCGGCCGCTCAGAGCACACATGGAGGCGAAGAAGGCAGAATCAGCCTTCGAATGATCTTCGAGATGTTACAGGCTCAACAAGCCGCGATATCACAACTCCGAAACCAGATCCATGCACCAAGCATAATCAAGCCCAAGCCGTCTCAGGAAGTTATTCACGGGGTCGAATCGATGTCAAGGAAATCAAACATAAAAGAAACGGGGACCGATCCCGCAATCATGAAGATGCTCTAGGAACTAACGAAGCGAGTTGAATCGGGGGAAAAGAAGATCGAAGCAAACGAAAAAAAGTGAAAACTTATAATTTCAGGGTTGATTAGATCCCGGGGGCACCACCCATATTGAAGGGTTTGGATTCCAAAAAGTTAGTACAAAAGCCTTTCCCCCGAGCGCGGCTCCCAAACCGATTCGCAAGAAGTTTCGCATGCTCGAGATTCCTAAGTATAATGGAACGACCGACCCCAACGAGTATGTCACTCTTACACACGTGCAATTAAAGGGAATGATCTAGAGGACGATAAGATCGAATTCGTGTTACTAAAGAAATTTGGGGATACCCCTTTCAAAGGGAGCGGTGATATTGTACCATAATTTACCACTTAAATCTATTGATTCTTTTGCCATGCTTGCAGACTCTTTTGTAAAAGCACATGCCAGAGCCATAAATGTCGAGACTAGGAAGTCGGACCTTTTCAAGGTAAAGCAGAAAGATAACGAGATGCTCAGAGAGGTTGTGTCTCGGTTCCAAATGAAACGAATGGATCTACCATCGTTCGCTGATGATTGGGCCGTTCAGGCTTTCACTCAAGGACTAAATGAACGAAGCTCAGTGGCTTCATAACAGTTGAAGCAGAACTTGATTGAGTACTCGGCTGTTACCTGGGCCGATGTACATAATCGATATCAATCGAAGATTAGAGTCGAAGACGACCTGGGGGCTCCTTCTGGGTCCGTTTATCCCATCAGGCCCGTTGACAGAACCAAAAGGGACATTAATAGAGAACCAAGGTTGAACAGGGATCGATACCAATCGTATAATGAAAATCGTAGGGGCAACAGACCTGGGCGCAACCCAGTACGAGGTGAAAGGAGAAGTGATCGAGGCCAGAGCTCTTGAAGGCTCATGAGCAAGAATGGTTTCGATAGGCATACCGGACCTAAAGAAGCACCACGATTGTCGGAATATAACTTCAATGTTGATGCATTCGCCATCGTATCGGCTATCTGATGCATCAAAGATACTAAATGGCCTCGACCTCTACAGAGCAATCCAACCAGAGAAATCCCAACCAAATGTGAAAGTATCATGGCACCCATGGCCATAGAACAGAAGATTGTAGACAACTGAGAGAAGAAGTAGCCCGGTTATTCAACGACGGGCTCCTTCGGGAGTTTCTAAGTGATAGAGCCAATAATCATTTCAAAAACAGATAGTCCAACAGATAAAATGAGCAAGAAGAACCGCAACACGTTATTCACATAATTGTTGGAGGGGTCGATGTTCCCCAAGGGCTGGTGTTAAAATGCACTAAGGTGTCGATCACAAAGGAGAAGCGGACTTGGGATTACATACCAGAAGGAACATTGTCCTTCAACGACGAGGACACAGAAGGGATCATGCAGTCCCATAAGGTTTGTACTTGTAATATATGTACTCATTAATAAGACTCAAGTTAAACGTGTATTAATTGATTCAGGTAGCTTGACCAACATCATTCGGTCGAGGGTCGTAGAACAACTCGGCCTACAGGACCATGTTGTGCCCGCGGCCCTAGTGCTAAATGAATTCAACATGGCATGTGAAATTACTAAGGGCGAGATAACTTTGCCAGTAAATATGGCCAGGACCATCCAAGAGATGAAGTTCCATGTGATCGAGGGTGACATGAGGTATAACGCCCTGTTCGGGAGACCATGGATCCACAACATGAGAGCAATGCCCTCGACCCTTCACTAGGTTTTGAAATTCCCAACACCAGAGGGAAAGAAAATAGTCTACGGGGAGCAACCCGCCGCAATGGAAGTATTTGCCATTGATGAAGTGATTCCTATATAGACACTCTCATCGACGAAGGGGTCAAATTCGAAGGAAAAATAGGAGGCCAAATAACTATCACAGACGCCGGCCTCGACCCAACTAGAGAAGCAGGGGACTGACGAAGATGATGATTATGGAGTCCCTCAATCCTTCATAATCCCCGATGACTCCGACGCCACCGAATCAACGGTCGAGGAGCTTGAGAAAATTATACTAATCGAACATCTGCCCGAACGAAAGGTATACCTGGGCACATGGTTAATTCTCGAGCTTAGGAAAAATCTTATTCAATTTTTTATAGCTAACATGGATTATTTTGCTTGGTCCCATCTCGACATTACAGGGGTCCCACCGGAAATCATCACCCATAAACTAAGCTTGGACTCGAAGTTCCATCCGATGAAGCAGACAAGAAGACCCCACTCCGAGATCAAGCACACCTTCATCAAAAACGAGGTAGCCAAGTTTCTTAAAATAAGGTCCATCCGGGAAGTAAAATACCCCGAATGGTTAGCAAACATAGTGGTAGTTCTTAAAAAAGGAAACAAACTTAGAATGTGTGTAGATTGCAAAGATATAAATAAAGCATGCCCTAAGGATTCTTTTCCTTTCCCTAATACCGATCGCATGATCGATGCCACAGCCAGCCACGAGATCCTTAGTTTTCTCGATGCCTATTCCGGGTACAACCAAATACAAATGAACCCGGATGATCAGGAAAAGACCTCGTTCATCACTAAATATGGAACCTACTATTATAACATAATGCCAGTTGGATTAAAAAATGCTGGTGCCACGTACCAACGCCTAGTAAAACCGGATGTTCGAAAAACAAATAGGGAAATCTATGGAAGTTTACATTGATGATATGTTAGTTAAGTCTCTACGAGCAGAGGGCCATTTGAAGCATTTGCAAGAAACCTTCAGTATATTGAGGAAATACAACCTGAAGCTGAACCCGAAAAATGCGCGTTCGGGGTCGAGTCAGGCAAATTTCTCGGATTCATAGTATCCAACCGAGGGGTCGAGATCAACCCCGACAAAATCAAAGCTATCGAGGACATCAGTAGTAGACAATGTAAAGGTCGTGCAAAGGTTAACCAGGTGCATATCCGCCCTAGAGCGATTCATCTCGAGGTCCTCCGATATGAGCCATCGATTTTTCTCATTACTGAAGAAGAAAAAGAATTTCACATTGACTCCGGAATGCCAGCAGGCCTTGGAAGAGCTTAAACGTTACTTATCGAGCCCGCCGCTGCTTCACACGCCGAGGGCAGGCGAACAATTTTACTTATATTTGGCAGTATCACAGATAGCGGTAAGTGGATTCCTGGTCCGGGAAGAACAAGGTACGCAATTTCCAATTTATTACGTTAGTCGAACCTTAGGTGATGCCGAAACTAGGTATCCCCACCTAGAAAAGTTAGCGCTCGCTTTGATAAGCGCCTTTAGGAAACTAAAACTGTACTTTCAATGTCACCCCATATGTATTGTAACAACTTATCCACTCTGAAATATTATGTATAAA